GGAGGACACAGGGACATGGGGGACACGGGGGGATATGGGGGGACACGGGAATACAGGTGGATGTGGGGGGACATGGAGGGACTTGGGGACAGGGGGGCCCAGGGGAATATGTGGGGGGACATGGGGGGGCACGCGGACAGGAGGATATAGGGGATATGGGGGACACGAGGGGATATGGTGACATGGGGACGTGGGGGGACAGGGGGGGCACAGTGGGGATATGGTGACATGGGGACGTGGGGGGGACATGATGGGGACAAGGGAGCCATGGGGCGGGATATGGGGGACGCGGGGGACACAGGGGATATGGGGAACTTGGGGGGGCATGGAGAACATGGGGGCACACGGGGGGATGGGGCACACGGGGCCGGGCCAGGGGCGCCGGGGCTGTCCTGGGCTGCGCTCCCGGCTCTGAGGCCGCTGTCACCCCCAGCATGAAGAGCCCGGCCGTGGTGGGCGTGCTGTGCACCGACTCGCAGGGGCTCAACCTGGGCTGTGAGTGAGGCACCGGCGGGCGTGGGGGGCACCGGGGGGCTCCTGGCACTGCCCGGCCCCTCCAGGGGCTCCTGGCACTGCCCGGCCCCTCCAGGGGCTCCCAGGGCTGGGGGGTCCCGGCGCTGCCCACGGGGGGTTGGGGTGCTCCCAGTCCTGCCCGTTCCCTTTGAAGGGCTCCCCGGGATGGGGACACCACCCGGCCCTACAGACCCCCCCTCCCCAGCTGTCCTGCACCAGTGCCACTCTGGGGACACCTGCCCTGCCACCACCTGCCTGTTCCTGACAGCTCACCTCGGGGTTTCTGGTGGAGGGAGAGGAACTATCTGGGGAGACACTGAGTCAGCCCCCAGGGAGGGAAATGGGGCAGGGAGGGAAATGGGTTGGGGCAAGACCAGGGAGGGAAACAGGCCAGGGAGGGAAATGAGCCAGGCAGGACCAAGCCCCTCGGCCTGGGGGGACAGTCAGCCTGTCCCCAGCACTGCCCTGGCACAGGGGGTGTACCCAGCCCTCCCACCCCTGCAGGCAGGGGAACCCTGTCGGATGAGCACGCCGGCATCATCTCGGTGCTGGCCCAGCAGGCGGCCAAGCTGACCTCGGACCCCACGGACACGCCCGTGGTGTGCCTGGAGTCGGACAGCGGGTGAGGCCCCAGCCTGCAGCTGCTGCTGGCCCCACCTTGCCTTGCCCCAGCCCTGGGAGACTCCTGGAGTCACATCCCTGGAGCAGCTGTGGGGAGAGGCTGCCACAGGCACAGTCCCTGGCTTAATGGGGATGTAAAAGCAGCAGGAAACCTTCCAGGGGCTGCTGGTTCCTGCAGCTCAGGAGCTCTTCCCCCTGGGGTCCCTGTGGGTCACAGAGCCTGGGGTCCCTGTAAGTGACAAATCCTGGGGTCCCTGTGGGTGACAGAGCATGGGGTCCCTGTGGGTGACAATCCTGGGTCTCTGTGGGTGACAATCCAGGGTCCCTGTGGGTGACAGAGCCTGGGATTCCCTGGGGATGACAATCCTGGGTTCCTGTGGGTGACAGAGCCTGGGATTCCCTGTGGGTGACAATCCTGGGTCTCTGTGGGTGACAATCCTGGGTCTCTGTGGGTGACAATCCTGGGTCTCTGTGGGTGACAATCCTGGGTCCCTGTGGGTGACAGCCTGCCAGAGTCGGGTCACTGCTCATGGAGCTGGGGGATGGAGCAGCCGAGGCCTGGGATGGGGCTGGGGCCTGGGGCTGCCCAGTGGTTCCCCTGCCCACTGCCACCCCCAGCTGCCCTCCCTCAGCCCTGGCTCCTTGCTGTAGGAACATCATGATCCAGAAGCACGACAGCATCACCGTGGCAGTGCACAAGCTGCTGTCCTGAGCCTTGGAAGCAGCTCTGCTCCCGGTTCCTCCCTGCACTGCCACCCTCCCTTTGGAGCTCCACACCTGGGATGAAGGCTCTCCCTCCCTCCCTTCCTCCCTCTCACCAGCTCCTGGGCAGCTCCCTGGCTCTCCAGCTCACGTTTCAGCCCTTGTGCTGCTGAGGATGAAGCATGGGCACGCCCCCAGGCCCATGCAGATCCTCCCTGCTGTACGTGGGGGGTCTTATTTGTTGGAGAAATCAATAAATAACCTGTAAAAAACCTTTCTGCCTTCTCTCTGCTCCGTCTGGGAGAGCTGGGCCTGGAGCTTCCTTCCCAAAGCCAGGGAGGGTAACTCCTCCCACTGCCTCCATTGGCATTTCTCTGGAGAAAAACTGGAACTCGTGGAGCCTCCTCAGTAGAAAAGGTACAAAAGCTTTCCAAGGAATTTCTCCTAGGAAACATTTCTCCTGCTCAAGTTAAACATTCTGTGGGAGTTCTTGCTCACTGTGCCTTGGGTTGAAGTTCAGAGCTGGGAAGGGATCCCAGCCCTGGGAGCTGGGAAGGGATCTTGGCAACATCCTCACAAATCCAGGCCCCTCTTGCCCTCGCAGATTTGAAACGATCCTGCAAAAGGGTGGGGGAGCTGCTACACCCCAAAGGTTCCTGTGTGCTGGGGAGGGAAAAGGAGCTGGGTTGCAGCTGCAGGAGGGGAAGGGAAGCTTCCCAGCAGAGCATGAGGGAAAACTTGGGTATCATTGTCACCGCTAGAAATGAAGGGATGGGATTATTTCCATGCTAAGAAGAATTTATTGCTCAGATAAACATCAGTCTCCGAGGCTGTGACATTTTAAAGGAGCAAGCAGTCAGCTACAGCTTAAGAGTAGTCACAAGATTTTTTGTTGTAAGGTAATATAGAACTTTCTAAACCAATAGAAAAGGCTACAGGATTTATTTTGCTTTTCTGACCTATCACCTTTATTTACTTCTGCTGCACTGCAGATACATTTATCTAATGGGCTTTCAACTCACAAGTTTTTAACTTAATGTTTTTATTATAACTTCTAAACTCTCAACCTACTCCATCCTATTATATTGCTACTCGAGAAACATTTCACCATCTTACCCATACAGTTTCTCACTTAAGGCATATTCTTATTTACAACTGTAAAAACATAAGTTTATGATTTTTCTGCTTAATATCTCTGTATTGTATTTTTACATCAATCCAAGCTTCTCCCAAGGCTGCAAATCAAACCCTTCAGTGTCTGTGGAAGTTTCTGGTTTTCCTATTCCCATGCTTGGGCTGAGTCAGTGAAATGACATTGCCACTGCTCTGACTTTACTCCTCGGAGCAGCTCTTGGGCAGTGGCAGTCACAGGCTCTCACAGGAGCAGCCTGGCCAGGCTCCACACTCCCTCCCAGCTGAGTGTTCACCTGCAGCAGAGCCCTGATCCTGCCTTGTCCCAGCTCCGTGCTGGCCCTGGGGAATCCACCAGGCTGGGAGCAGCTGGAGCTGTCCCCCTGGGCATCCCCCTGAGTGCAGATGCTGCTGCCCTTCTGCCCCTTCCTCCAGGCCCTTAAACCACTCACTACGAACCCCCTCCTCCCTAAATAAAGCTCAGTGTATGTGAAAAATGCATATTTATGATTGGCTTTTCACAAATGTTACCATTAATATTATATGTGTAATGTTAGAAAGTTATGCTGTATTAATTCTCTTACGTATTGTGTTAAGTGTAGTTTTAGGTTACAACATAATGTTAAAATAGAGACTATGTATGTGGGGGAAGTTTTTTTTTATTTAGGGATGAGGAACACCAAAATCTTCCAAAGGAGAGGAATTTGTGGCTTCTTATCAGAAGAAACTAATTTCTTCAGGCCTTGCTCAGACTCAAAGATAAGGGGATTAAAGGAAACAGTTGACATACAACAGACAGAGTTTGTTGTTTAGAATAGAATGTATGAATAACCATGAAGGATGTATGAATATGCAACAAGTGTATTTTTTTAAGGGTGATTCCTTTGTTCACAAGTCATGCTTTTCATGACTCAGTGTCCAAGAGCATCCGGATGTCCGTAATTCTTTGCTTTTTATTGTCTTGTAATTGTCCTAACTGTAAACTTTATTACTCTAATTGTATTATTTTTTTAACAACCATTTTATTATTATTAAACTTTTAAAATTTTAAAAACCAAGTGATTGGCGTTTTTCACAGTGTACACGGCTGCTCTGCCCAGCTGCAGAACACCAAATTTTCCAGCCTGTCCCCCCTCAGCAACGCAGTTCCCAGCCAAGGGCCCTGCAGGATGGGCAGGACCATGTCGAAGACCACCGTAGGTTGGGAGTGAAAAAACTTCTCCAACCCCAGCTTCCCAAGAAAGGCTCAGCAGTCTCTGTTGTTGGGTCTCAAGGCAGTTTATTGCAAGTTATCTAAAAGATTTTCTCCTGGGGCTGCTGTGGTTTGCTCACAGCTCAGGCAGAGGCACACACACACCCTGACATCCTCTCTGACCCCGACTGCTTCTTCTCTCCTGCCCAGGGCTGCTGCTGTCTTTTATATGGTACATTACGTGTGACATGGTTACAGTTTATCCCAATGCCTATTACCTATATTAAATGGTGATTTTCTATCTTTTATATGGTACATTATGTGTTACATGGTTACAGTTTTTCCCCAATTCCTATTACCTATATTAAATGGTGCTTTTCTATCTTTTATATGGTACATTACGTGTTACATGGTTACAGTTTTTCTCCAATGCCTATTACCTATATTAAATGGTGATTTTCTATTCTAAACCAATCTGTGAGTGCCAACATCACCAAGAACATGGAGGTGAGGAAGGAGAAAGGGGGAGGACAGGGCAGGCCCAGATCCCAAATCCATCTTAAACCCTCTGACCCCCATGTACAAAACCAAGACTCCCCTGTACAGCACTCAAAAATTCTTCCCTCTACTTTGTGACTGCTTCTACTCTAATATCTAAACTTTTGTGACTTCTTGTTCTTCCTGCAAGGTTGGTGAATCATTCCATGGCTCAAACCCAAAATCACAGCTGTTTCCAGCTGTGCCAGGGTCTCAAATGCTTCTGACCTGGGCACGGAACATCCCAAAATGTCTGAGGGACATTTTGAGTTCCGACAGGACCAGGCTCTGCTCCTCGCAGCCAGCAGAGCCCCGGGCCGGGCTCGGTCCAGCCCAGCGCTGCCAGCCTGGCTCTGCTCGGGCGGGACCCGGAGCTTTCCCCGGGTTCCAACTTCGCAGCCTCCCCCTCCTTTTCCTTCCCAACAGGATTTCTGCTCCAAACGCTCCGGGTTTCCTGTTCCCAGCTGGGGAAGGGGAGGGACTCTCGCCTTGGGGCCTCAGAAGCCGAGCTCTGCCTCCAGAGAGGAGGAGGAGGAGGAGGAGGAGGAGGAAGAGGAGGAGGAGGAGGATGGGCTCTGTCCCCCGTCGGGCTCCGTGTCCTGCTCAGCACAGACAGCACCACCCTCACCCCATGGAATGAAGGAGCAGCCTCTGGGGTGCTAAATCAGGAAAGGGGGATTTAATCTCTGCAGCAAATGAAGATCCTCTGAAGAGATTCCTCTTTGCTGCCGACTGCTCCGGGGAGGATTTCCAGCATGCAGGGCGGTAAGGAAAAGTTCCAGGATCATCACCCCGGCTGCCCCTCGGGCGGGATCCTGAGGCGTGGGGGGGATGAGGGATGGAAGGGAGACAAGCAGAAAAAGCTGGAGTAGGAAAAGCTCGCAGAGAGCTCCGAGGTGGATCCAGACAGGCAGTGCATGACCGCTGGGCTTGTGGCACAGCCCAAACTGCTAAAGCGGCGCTGAGGCTCTCACCCGCCCTTAGAGCTGAAGTGGTTACAGTCATTTGGAGAGGATGAGAGAGAATATCCAACCGTTTCCACACCGGGACAATTGGAATTGTCAGAAAGTCTGGTGCAAGCATCACCCGAGTGAGCGCGGTGTGGTGTCTGCCCCAGCCGCAGCCGCGGGGCTCCGGGGCAGCGCTGCCTGCCCGGGAATGGGAACGGGAATGGGAACGGGAATGGGAACGGGAATGGGAATGGGAATGGGAATGGGAACGGGAATGGGAATGGGAACGGGAACGGGAATGGGAACGGGAATGGGAATGGGAACGGGAACGGGAATGGGAACGGGAATGGGA